GGGTCTCCCCAGTAGCTCCCAGTGCCTCCCAGTAGCTCCCAGTGCCTCCCAACACATCCCAAGGCTCTCCCCAGTAGGATTCAGTGGCTTCCAATTCTCTCCCAGTTTGTCCCAGTCCCTCCCAGTTGATCCCAGTCCCTCCCAGTTGATCCCAGTCCATCCCAGTTGCCCTCAATGTACTCCCAGTGTCCTTCCCGCTCCCCCTTGTGGCGGCTTTGGGATTTGCAGCGTCCTCCCAGTAACTCCCAGTAACTCCCAGTTCATCCCAGTTTATCCCAATCCCCTCCCAGTCCATCCCAGTCCCCTCCCAGTTTATCCCAGTCCCTCCCAGTTGCCCTCAATGAACTCCCAGTTTCTCCCCCGCTCCCCCTGGTGGCGGCTTTGGGAACTGCAGCGTCCTCCCAGTAACTCCCAGTTCATCCCAGTTTATCCCAGTCCCTCCCAGTTCATCCCAGTTCCTCCCAGCTGATCCCAGTCCCTCCCAGTTTATCCCAGTTCCTCCCAGTTGATCCCAGTCCCTCCCAGTTGATCCCAGTCCATCCCAGTTGCCCTCAATGAACACCCAGTGTCTCCCCCGCTCCCCCTGGTGGCAGCATTGGGAACTTCAGCATCCTCCCAGTAACTCCCAGTTCATCCCAGTTTATCCCAATCCCCTCTCACTTCGTCCCAGTCCCTCCCAATCCCCTCCCAGTACCTCGCAGTCCATCCCAGTCCCTCCCAGTTTATCCCAGTCCCTCCCAGTTGATCCCAGTCCATCCCAGTTGCCCTCAATGAACTCCCAGTGTCTCCCCCGCTCCCCCTGCTGGCGGCTTTGGGAACTGCAGCGTCCTCCCAGTAACTCCCAGTAACTCCCAGTTCATCCCAGTCCCTCCCAGTTCGTCCCAGTCCCTCCCAGTTTATCCCAGTCCCTCCCAGTTGATCCCAGTCCATCCCAGTTGCCCTCAATGAACTCCCAGTGTCCTTCCCGCTCCCCCTTGTGGCGGCTTTGGGATTNCAGTCCCTCCCAGTTTATCCCAGTCCCTCCCAGCACCTTTCTCCACCACGGCCAGCCGCAGGGTCTGGTTCCTGGCCAGGCTGTAGGTGTAGCCCTCGAAGGTCAGGTTGCGCCGCAGCCGGCACACGTAGTGCCCGGCGTGGCCGCGCTGCACCGCCTGCAGCCACACCGACAGGTCCTGCAGGTCCCGCGTGCCCCGCGAGCCGTTCCAGGACAGCACCCCCCAAAACGGCCCGGGAGCCACCCACTCGCCCTCCTCGGGGCTGTAGTGCAGGATCTGCACCGGGAAAAACCAGGAAAAACCCGTAGAAACCAGTAAAAACCAGTAGAAACCAGTAAAAACCAGTAGAAACCAGTGAGGTTTGGCGGGAAGGGTTTGGAAATGGGGCTTAGCTCGGTGGCGCCGTCTGCTGGCCGACTTTGGTATTGCAACGGCGCCGTATCGCGGCTCCCAGTCGCTCCCAGTTCAGCCCAGTCACTCCCAGTATGGCCCAGTGGCTCTCCTGGGTCTCCCCAGTAGCTCCCAGTGCCTCCCAGTA